GCTACAGTACTACTATGAGTATGAGGTGAAGGTAAGCTTCGCAGTTTGTTTCCACGCATGGAGTCCGCCCTGCCTCTTTGGCATGGCACCAATAGAGAAGGAACAAAACATTAAAAAAAAGAGGCATGGCACCAATAGAGAAGGAACAAAACATTAAAAAAACGAAACAAACACAAACACGTTCCTCACTTACTGGACATATACATTCCAAAAAGAACTGGTCTCACTTCCACCTCGGTGAGGGCCTTCCCCGATGTCTCTCGATTTACAGTGCCTTGTTTTTTTTTTTGTTTTTTTTTCCAAAGTGGGGCCCCAGTGTCCCACTCTTTTCTTTTTTCCTTCTTTCTGCCCGACACTCCGCCCGATCCCCGAAAAATGTGGTGTGACGTATATTCCCGTTTTCCTAACACTGAGAGAGGTCGTGACGGTTTAAAGAAGTATGCTGCCCTGACCCAACATTTCTATTGGTCTAAGATAGACGATCGCCTGCACTACTTGGAGACCTGCGAGTTGTGCGAAAGGAACAGGGTTCACAAGCGACCTCCTCTTGGACTACTTAAGGCCCTACCCATCCTTGATGGTCCATGTGAGTCTGTCCATTGATTTCACAGATTTGGGCAAGACCACAGCAAGTGGGATGAGACTGGTATCATTGGTTTGCATGGATAAATTTTCCGCGTATGCTAAGTTTAACCCCTTATTTGCTACGGTTAAGAGTACATCTAGTCAGAGAGCTTTTCTGTGAGAGGTGGGTAAATGTTCATAGCTGCCCATCCTCCATTGTCACTGACAAAAATCTCAGATTCTGCAGCAATTAAGGAGAGTCCTTTTGTAAAGACTAGCTTCATTCTAGACTGGCCTTGACCTCCGAAACCAATGGCCATGTAGAAGTGATGGACCAAGTCCTGTTTCAGCTGCTGCGTCCTATGATTACATCTTATCAGCAGGATTGGGACAAACATCTGTCCAGGACATAACTGATGTATAATCCCTCTGGTCACAGCACAACATGATTACACCTTTTTTTTTTTTTTTTTTTTTTTTTTTTTGAGAGGCTGTCCTTTGCAAGAGACCTCTAATTGACAGGCTTGGACAAACATTCTCTAGGTGAACTCTGGGATGATCTGATTGACAACTCTAAGCCTAAAGCTTGTCCTAATTTCGATTCGATTATCGAACTCCTGGCACTGCAGACTCAGTGCAGAGTTCACCTAGAGAATGAGAAAGACCTAGAAAAAGCTAGAACTAATATGTTCAAAGGCCTAAAACAGGATGATCAAACAGGCTAACAAGCATTGCTCGCCTTCTGCTATACGACTAGGGCCCTGGGTCTGGATGAAAAGATCAGAACTAATTGACGGACAAGATATCTCGAGAAAGTAGTTGCCTGTTTACTAAGGCCCATGGCAGGAATTTGATACTGTGGGGGTAGATCCATTTGGACCTTCCTATATACTTGTTGTACCCCCCCACATCAAGACCTGTCCAGTTTTCCATGCTTCAAAACTGCCGTCGTTCAGTCTTGCTGGTGCATTTCTTGGCATGCCACCACAATTTGGACCTCCTATCCCTGGGAAGGGATATGAAGTCGAGAACATAGAACACCAGTGGGGCACAGGCCCTGATTGTGAATATCTTGTGAAATTTTGCTTCCAAACTCATTCTGAGGATCGATGGTTTACGTGGAAGGAAACTCTCAGGTCTACAAATTCAGTCGTACGCACTTATGAGGCTGAACAGAAAGGGCAACCTCTTAGACATTTTCCTCGAGGACACTCCTAGCTCAGGGCCCTCGCTCCCTGGGAGGGTAAGAATGCAATTAGTTCCCGCTTCTAGCAGGTTGTAAACTGAATAATTATTATAATTAAGCATTTCTAACTTTTCGTAGTTTTCTGCGGGGTTTGATCCATGGACCTATGCATACAAAGGACTGCTCTCACTTTTGACTGCGTTGAGGTCCCCGAGTCTTGATCCCCCTACCTGTGCTGCGACAGTTGTAGGTCATTGTTTTGCCCTTTTGCCCTTTCACCTGTTTACATCCAGATACTCGGAGTCCGTAGGCTGCCTGCTTGGGTCTGTCCTGCGCTGTAGGTCGGTAGTCTGTCGAGGCTTAGAGGTCGTGGGGAACAATAGTCGGGTCTGCAGTTGGCTACGAGTTCTTTTCTTTGTTTTCGTTTCATGAACTGTGGGGTGGGAGGTCGCATTCCTGCTGCTTCGCTAAGTTTACCCGCACAGCCATCTTCATCGTGGTGATGCGCCGGCGGCCATAGTTGGGCAGCCAGCTTCCTTGAGAGCAGTCCTTTGGATGCAGGTTCTGTATGCTGTAAACAGTGTAAAGGTCCTTCCTCCTACTGTGTATGTTGTGGTATTCTTCTTCGAAGTGGCAGGCATCTCCCTTTCATCGTGCTGGTGTTCTTCTTCTTCATCCAGGGAGTTACTCTACCCTGTTGAGTGGACACTTCCTCTGCAGTGGGCATCATGATTGGACTGCTGAGTTGCGTGTTGGGCTCAGGAGGGTTGGGGGCGATTGGTGGGCTTCGTAGGTTGGGCACAGGCCTACACCATAGCTAGGAGCTTGAGGTTGGAGGAAGAAGAAGTCTCCCTGTTACAATGGAACATTGTATATAATTGTTTTTTGGGTGTTGATAAAGTGGTTGGGATTCTCGGAACAGTGCGTTGATTGGCTAGAGAGAGCGGGGAATTAATTAGAATTGATTTGTTTTTTTTGGTTTTAACTTTTAAGTGCTTCCGCTGTGTACTCTCTCATCCAGTGTGGTGTGAATTGCTCTCTCCAAGATCTCTTGTCATTCCGGCGATTCCGCATGTGTATGGGAACGTGTGAATGCCATGCTGTATCTCGTTTCAATCAGGCCCATAACAACAAGACCCCGAGCAGGATAGGTGGTTCCCCAAAGAGCAACTTCATGCGACAGCACCTCCGAGTCGCATTGTCTCACACTAGGGGGATCTGCGACTTTGACAGGTAGACTGCTACTAATGCTGTCACCGTCGTCTCAACTTGATGAGCCATTCTTAAGCAAAGTCTTGACAGATAATGGCAAACCGCCACTTCCAAACTCTTATGGCCTTTCAGGCATTCCTGATTTCACAAGGCAGCTTCAGCTAATAGAAATAGTACTTCTCGAAGGACCTCGAACTTAGGCCGGCGGGAGTGTAAGGATTCACATGCTACCCTGGTACCGTGTCCCATTTCTTTTGTACCTCAGGGCCAAAGTAGAACTTTCCGCTAAGTTTCTGGTCGTTTACTGCACTGGACAAAATAGAGGTCTGATAGGATAAGACAGGTAAGATCAGTAGAAGGTTCTATTAGTCAGCACATAGGGAGTCGCCACATGTCCAGTCCCGGTCCCATTGCAGCTCAGTCCCAGGGAAAGGCCATGACAGACCGGATCTCTGTCTGCCACGGCAGGGCGTGGCAGGAAGATTCTGGAATCGCGTGAGAGGCAGAGGCACAGGCACAAAAGGTGGACGGACTTCAGGAACGACGCGTCTTCATTCAGCTCATGCCAGAGCCCTGCAGCTTTATCACGAGGAGAGGGCGAGGACATGCAGAGAGAGATCTTATGACCTGTGTATCTCTGTGTGTGTAGATCTACGTGCAGCAGGGGAGAGAGAGAGAGAGAGAGAGAGAGAGAGAGAGAGAGAGAGAGAGAGAGAGAGAGAGAGAGAGAGAGTTACCGGTTGTCGTTGGCAGCCATAGCCGCAGACTTCGAGAGACCTGTGTATATCATTTCAAGGTCTAATTAAGTTCTGTGTGTGCTCATATCGTGGGGATCTTGCTGCCGTCTGGATCCCGATCGGCCGGATCATTTCACAAAGGTCAGTACTCAATCTGTTACCCCGATTTTTCCCAGATTTTTTGGTCAAATATTCCGAGAAGAAAAATTGCCGAAGTAGGCACACTCTTGTTACACAGGCCTGAGTCTCACCGCCACAGGTGAAACGACGTGTGGGCCTGGGCCTCAACCCCTTAAATTCATTTGTTGACGGGGACTGTCACATGAAATCCCACGATGCACTTTAACCGGTCCTCTGCCCAATGACTGCCCCATGCAGTGCATGCACCCCTCCAAACCCCTCCCCAGAAATGCACACCCTTTGCACTACCGCTTCGCGGCTTCGGTCCTGTAGACCCAATGACCAAAAACCTGCCATGGGTGTACAGGTTGCAAGTCTGCAAACAGGAGTATGCATATCACACAATGGCTTGATGTTGCAGGAGCACAACAGCAAAAATAAAACCATTAATACCCAGGAGCCCTAACATGCTGGCAACAAGCCACATGCCGCCAATGTTTCTAAGGGGAATTCTATGCCTGACACATCTTTGACAGACAGACATCAATTTCCTGCAGCTTCTAGACGCAAAATAGAGAGAACAAAAGAAAAGCCTTGGGGGCCCTGTATGGCTGCATTTCCCGCATCCCCACAGTGGCCAATGCACACCCTTCGCACACCCGCTTCTATCCCACAGAGGACCCCAGTAGACCCAATGACGAAAAACACGGTGTTTGGGGATATAACTGCATCCCCTAGCAGCAAACCTTCCGGGGATCAGGCAGTTCTTCGGCGCTGTTTTGCAATCTGGGTTGCACATCTTGCTCGCCGCAGGTGCAGTTGGCCCGCGAGCTCCGCACTGTCACCCAGGCTAGCACTGTTTGTGAGGGTAGCGTCACCATTGTCAGCACCGGCACGTTCAGTGCCCACTCCGTCTTGTCTCTCACCAGCAATGTCCTCACCCTCCCTTCTGACCCAGCGGTGATTCTCCTTCACGTGTAATTGCTCTTCCTCCTCCTTCTCCTCCTCCTCCTGCTGCTGCTCCTTTCGCTGTCGTTGACATTGCCGATACAGTCGTTCCTGAGTCGGTTTGTGATGGCGGTGATAATCGCTCTTCTTTGCATCCCCCTCTGCTTCCCCTCGTTGAAAACCAGATTCTGTTCGCAGATGGCTGTGGAAGCCCAGCTTGAGTGAGGATGGAGAGACAATGCCCGTCGACTCCCGGTGCAGTTTGTTCTTCTTTACCTCATCGGCATAACCGCTGGGTTTTCTGCTTGTCCAGGAGCACAATGATGGCGACGATGGCGAGGATAGACCACCCTTCAACCTTTTGGCAATGTGGCGAAATTCTTGTCGGAGTTTGTGGCATTCGGCGACAGCGAGCTCCTTCTCTCGTACAACTTGATCCTTTGCCTCAGCCTTCCTACTTATCTCGGCCTGGAACTCCTTCTTGGCCTTGATCCACTCCGCTTCGCTTTCAAGCATGATTGCCAGCCGGGCACTCGCATCCTTTCCATGCTTCTCTGCTGCCTCTAGAGCAAGCTTGAGCGTCTGCACCTCCTCCTTGGCGATCTTGAACTCCCTATCAAGGACAGTTGCCCTGGCCTGTGCAGCTTGTAACCGGTCTGACAAGTCTTCCACCCGTGCGGCCAACCGCCCACTCTCTGCCCTCTGCTCTGCAGTCGCTTCCTCAAACACCTTGGCTGCATTTCGAGTCTCCTCTCTCATCCGACGCAGCAGGTCCTCGTTGGCCGCAAGCACAGGTGCCATCTCTGTCATGGATCTGTTATGCATCTCGGTCAGCTGAGCTACCCTCTCGGCCAAAGATTTACACTTGCCCTCTAGGTCAAGCCGGACCGCTTCGGCCTCATTCCTGACAGCCTGCGCAGCGTTGCTGGTTGCACGCTTTTGTGTCTGGAGCTGCCTTGCGAGCTCCTCGCAGTCGTGCGCTAACTGAGTTGCCCGGCCTCTCGTTTGTCCTAGCTCTTTCTCCGCCTTCTTGAGTTGCTTCTCCTGCTCAGCGAGCTGGGCTCTCAACCGGGTCCGCTCAGATTCCCACTCATTGGCACTTCGCTGGGCTGTCAGCGCCAAGCTGGTAGCTTTTTCCAGCGCTGTGTCCCTGTCTCGCTCTGTTTCCTCGAGTCTTGCTGCCATTGCGGCTGCCATTCCGACTCCACCAACAGGGATACCGGCACCAAGAGAGGAAACCAAGCCCTTGTCAACCACTAAAGCTGCACCGGCCTGCTGCAGGCATGTTGATGCTTTCGCTTGAACTTGTTTTAATTCCTGTTCGCACGTTTTCTTATCCCTCAGTGCCCTGGCCAGCGCAGCTGACAGCTCAAACTCCGTCCTCGTCAGTCGATTGACCTCTTCCTGCAAGGCCGCCACCGCCTGAGCTGTAATGGTTCCTGCTCCCATTGCCCCATTCGTTGACAACGGCCCCATCGCCATCCCCATCCCGGCCGCACTCGATGATGATTCGGTAATGGCACTCGCGTTTTGCGATTTCCAGTTCTTTTTCCTTTCTGCGTCAAGCTTCTCCGTGAGACTCGTCACTTCCTTTTCTAATTTCAGGACTTGAGCCGATGCCCTCTCGCGCTCCAGCTTGCACACCTCCGCCTCTTCCACAGCCACCTGCAGCTTCCGAAACGCCTCTGTGTCCTTCTTCCGGTACTCTTCCACGTGTTCTGACAGTGCGTTCACCAGCTGCGACATCTCTCTCTTCTCTGCCTCTCCCTCTTCCAGCAGTCCCTTGGCGGATGACCAGTTCTTGGTCAACGTCTCTACCTCCCGACTGAGTGCCAGCACAGCACCTCTCGCTTCTCTCTCCCTGGACTGCAAACACACGTTCTCCTGCCGAAGAGATGCTATGTCTGCTTCCATCTTCCTCTTCACGCTTTCGAAAGCCCGCTCCAGTTCTTCAGCCCTCTCCGTTGCAGCGCTTGCGTTGATCACGTTGACGTCTAACTCCTTGCGCAGCTCCTTGTTTTCAAACACGGTCTTGCTGAGGTCTTTATCTCGGCAAGCCAAGCAGTCGGTCAACTCCGCCAACTTCTTCTCGTTCGTACGAAGCTTTCTGGCAAGGGCGGCCATTGCGCCGCTCAGGCTTACGGTCTCCTCCATTCGCGATCGGATCTCGGCACGGCAGCGACACAGCTCCCTCTCCAGATCTTCCTGCTGTGCAACGAGAAGGTCATTTTCCTTCCGCAAAGTGTCATCGTCCTCGTCGACACCGTTCCAGCGGTCCCGACCATGATAGCCGAGGTCAGCCGCAGGTCCTGTGACACTCTCCAGATGTGCAGGAGGGCAAAAAGCCTCATCCTCTTCTTCTTGCTCTTCTTCTTGTTCCTCGCCTGCGTCTTCATCACCAGGGTTGCTGGTGCGCAAGTTCGTGACCAGCCTCTCTTTCTCTTCCTCTAGCTCCTCGCACCTCCGCTTCATTTGCTGCATTTCGGCTAACAAGTCAGCCTGACCGTTCTTCATCCCGAACAGCTGATTCATTCTCTCCTCCACGGGATCACTCATTGCTGCGGCTGTGCTCTCGCTACCCTTTGAAAAAGGGATTGCCCAGGACACTACTACCACAACGACGTTTAGAGCTCTCTCTCTCTCTCTCTCTCTCTCTCTCTCTCTCTCTCTCTCTCTCTCTCTCTCTCTCTCTCTCTCTCTCTCTCTCNTCTCTCTCTCTCTCTCTCTCTCTCTCTCTCTCTCTCTCTCTCTCTCTCTCTCTCACACACACACACACACACACACACACACACACACGCGCGCGCGGGCACGCGCTGTCTCTCTGTGCTTTACGTCCTGATCCCCCTCGCCCCCTTCCCCATGTGCATCTGGATCCGTACCATGCTGCGACCTCTCTCTCTTGCCATTCTGCCCTCCCCTTCCCGAGGCAACTGCCACTGCAAATCGTGCGTACACGCCCTTCCGCTCCACCCCTCTGCCCTCTCCTCCTGGCTGGGGACTCCCGGCCAGCTTTCTACGTCCACGTGCGTGTCGGTGAGGGTGTGTGCGTGTGATTGAGTGGGCCCGTGTGTGTTTTGTGTGCGCCTGGCACCATGCTACTCAGTCCTTCGGCCAACCATTGGGGAACTTCTGCGCCATCCTGTAATTCCTTCGTTCTTATTTTCATTGACAATCGAATTTGACATTGGGGCGGCCTTTGACATACATGCTGCAGTTGGACAAGGCGAGGCTCAGCCACAACTAGGTGGAGCCTTCATCATACGGTATGGAAGAAGACAACCGTCTTCATCCTCAACAGTGCCCGCCATTTCAACTACATACATTGCGAAGTCGTTCACCGGGTCGAGCAGCAGCGCCTTCCTTCCCCGTCATAATGATAAAGAAGCTGAGAGGAGGAGTCGCTTAACGTCCAAAATTTGGCAGAAGGCGTACAACAAACAAGCAGAGAAAATAGCACACAAGTGAAAAAAAGACAGCGGCATGCCCGCACCTTTTTTCCTCTTTCACAAAGACAGAGAAGTCGTTTCTTGCCGGATTTTATTCCTGATTCTTGACCCCGATTTTCGATTCTTGCAATTGTTTTTCTCGACTTTTTCCGATTTTGTGTTTGAAGGGTGAGAGCGTTGAGGCATCATCGTCGAACTGAGCTGAGCGGCGCCAGGCACTAGTTATTTTATTCATCTGATTCCAGCATGATTCGAAATCAGGTGTGCTTATCAGCAGCTCATGGGTGTACCATCCGGCCAAAAGCGAGCCCCATTATCGTGATGTAAAGTCAAACTTGAGGGCCTACGATCGTGATCAACGCCACCAACCCGTCAACGCGAGCCTTCTCAGCGCGACCACGCACACTGAACGTCTACAGGCAACCATGCACAGGACCACGCGCTCGTGCGCACGACCATGCAACTCGACCATGCACATGGCCGTGCACATGACCATGACACGCAGTGCACACACGACCATGCACACACGATCGTGCACATGACCATCCAAGTGACCATGCACACGATCGTGCACATGACCATCCACGTGACCATGCACATGACCATCCACGTGACTCTCCACACGACCATCCACGTGACCATGCACATGACCATGCACACACAGCCGTGGACAGCGAACTCCTACATGCACGTGCAGGATTAGCAGCAACGCGACCACGCACACTGCCATGCACACGTAACGCTTACACGTCCCTGCCAACCAATCAACGCCATCGCATTGTAGCGTGTTCAAAGAAATAATAATAATAACAAAGAAATCGTCCGACCTTCGAATAGCCCCGCGTACATGTCCTTCCATTCACTCTCGGACGCTTGATGAATCCAAGCAGAAGCCAACGGTCGACCACGACCGCTCGACGACTAACATGGCTGACAAAATGTAATTGCAATCAGCAATTACAGTAGTCATATACAATAATATAGTCATAAACAGGTCGATGGGTCGATCACTCGACGACCGATTGGTAGCTCGAGCTGATTAGGATGACATAAGAGTCCTTTCTCTCAGCTCAACCGCGCTATTAATCAACTACATCTTCTGAGTTGTTGATCGATAGCACAGTCGACGCGAAGTCGGATACTATTAGCTGATTATGATTACATATGAAGTACTTCCATCAACTCGACCGCGCTATTAGTTGATGGAAGTACTTCCATCAACTCGACCGCTACATCTTGTGAGTTGTTAATTGATGGCACGGTCGACTAAGCCGAATACGTTGAAGTTGATGGAATACGTATATCAATGTGTTCATTACTCTAAGTAGTCGGAAAGCGGTGTTCATTACTCTACTTGGTCGTGCTTCACCCATCACACATTGAAGAGTCGTGCTTAACCCATCACACAAAATGCATTATGTAATATAATACATTATCAATAACACGTTCGCTTATGTTATACATCAACACTCTTGCTCTTGCTTGACAAGCTATCCATCCTGCTGTCCACGAGCGGTGGACCAGTCAGTCCAAAAAGGTGGGTGTTGGCTCTACGTGTAGGTAGGTGTTTAGCGTTCTTTATCATAACTAGCAGCTACCTGATGCGGCTCCGCCAGCAAAGAACATGGTTTGTTTTTGCAAACGAAAGCAAAGAGCATGAGGGGTGTGGTGGCCTGAGTGCAGCTGGTCAGTTGGTACTAGTACCAACTGCACTGTTCTGTCCAAGGTACTTTCACAAATGTTGCCTTGTCAGCACATCGCTCCCTTGGCGGATAAGAAGAAGTATTCTCTTTCAAATATCAGAATAAGAAACGCAATTAGCAGGGGGACCGGCTCTGAGCGTTGAGTTGCAACCTCCCCGCCGGCTGGTGGCTCGGATCGGGCGGGTATGGGTCTCTGCTCTTGCCTTCGTGTCGATTCTGCCTTTATCGTTCCCGTCTGTCTTACGGCGACTCACGCAACACTTTGCTTGTCGTTGAAGAGTAACCGGACTGGGGCCCCACAGAATAGATGGGGCAAGTGGTGATTGGGTCAAACAAAAACAGAAAATACGCAGTTCTTCGAGTTTGGGGGGGGGTTCTTTAGACATTGATTTTTTTCTTTTTCTGGTTCTGGGTTTAACGATCAAAGCGAGCCACTCCAAGGGATCACTTCACTTTGTGTGTGTGTGTGTGTTGTCATATTCGCTATACACTAAAAAAAACGCAATGACTGTGCCAGAGAGACTGTTTCGTCGGACTTTCACCGACTCATCAGGAGGTTGAACCTGGACGGACAGTCTGCCCAGGATGCATTTGACTGATGGATAAGGAAGGACTCACCACATCGGCCAGAGTTAGCGATACCCATCCTTGAGAGAAAAGTGGTCGCCTTTACTCACACCAACCTTGCGTGTGTGTGTGTGTGTGTGTGTGTGTGTGTGT